CACTAGCCGTTTCGTGTAATTGTCCGCCTCTTTTTCCCCTCTTTTCTTCTTGCTTTCTTCTTTCCTTTTTTCTCTTTCTTTTACTTTTTGTAGTTCGGCTGGATGGAGCGTGCGGGAATGTTTCTTTGTGCCAGATTAGTGGAGGTTTTACCGGAGGATTTATACCGCGTGAGTTTTGTATGGGAATTTGGTACGAGGAGGGAGGGATGCTCGAAACACTTTGTGTTTAAATCGAGATCGAATTAGGGGATTTAATTGTCAAGATCAAGAGAGGATTTTTAAAGAAATATAATGAATATAAGATTTAAGAATGTTCGAATCTAAAAAATTCGATATCTAAACGATAAAGAAAATATAATTTTTTTATATAAATATCAAATTTTGGATATTTTTTTTAAATTAAATATGGAATGGAAGAATTATATTTTTTTAAATTTTAAACGATATACAAATAATCTTAAATAATTATATCTAATTTTAAAAGAATTGTAAGTTAAGATAATTATTTAAAATAAATGAATGGAAACTAATATATTTTGCAAAAGATAAATAGGTATTACAATAATCATCAAAAAATATCGAAAAATATCGAAATATTTATTAGTATAATTTATTAAATATTAGTAAGTAAAATGTAATATTAAAATAAAATTATATTTTATTTTAATATTTAAATAACATAATAATCCTTTTCTTAAATAATGATATTAATCAGTGCATAATAATTTCCACAAAAAATCCACCAGTATATATTATGCAACATCAATTGTATAATATAAAGTAACAAAAAATAATTAAAAAGCTCGATATTATTATTTATAAACATGTGAAGTTTTTTCCATTTTATTACGTAAAACGTTTAATCAAATCTCGCTATGAAATTTTATCAATTACGCAATATTTTAATATTTTCATAAGTTACAATCAATTTTGACAGTGAATTTTTCATTTTTTAAAATGAAAATTATAAAAATTTTATAAATTATTTTTACTTTATCATTTTTATTATTATTTTATTTTTTTATTTTATTTTGCACCAATTTTTTTTTTAATACCATATTAAAACACGTGTTCTTTCGGATATATTCATCCTCGTTATGAATATATCATCCACACGATAACGATAAACGAAAAAAATTCAATTTTCATGGTATATCGTGATATATTCATTAATATTCGTATCGTTATTTCACGACACTTCAATTCGTTCTAACTTTTAACACGGACATTACCCATGAAAAATTGCTAAGATAAACCTTATACGTTTTCCTTTGAAATTCCAGGTCATGAATTCCACACTAGCCACCCCTATTAAATTACGTTTCGTCCTCCTGTGTCACTTAAATCATGATCCATTACTATAAAAAAAATATATACTGCTTCCCTATATTGGAAAAAAAAAATAAGGGAATAATACCCGTCATCGTATTTTATGACGTTAAAAATATTAGCAATACAATACGTATTTCTTGTCTTGGATAGTTACAAGATTTACGTAAGCTGTTGAAAACAAGAGTGATGTAAGTCGAAGAAAGTTGCAATGAAAGTTGTGTTAAATTGCGTTGATTTACACTGTAATTTATTCACAGGTATTCTTACGTTATAGGTGACTATAAATTATAATAAGATTACAGTTTTTATCCTTTAATGATGCAAGAGTTTTTCTATATTTGCAGATATACTTACAAGAATTAAAATAAATTGTTATCTTTTATGATTTTCATATGGAAATAACTTTCGATCTTTTAGAATTTTTTAAAATTAATAACTCGATTTTAGCTTCATTAAAAATGATACTTTGATACATTTTGACTGAAAGCCTTCGTATATTTTCATTATAGACTTTGTGTATTGATATTAGAAAATGGCAGAAGATTAAATTATTAAGCCACATTTAATTTATTGCTCTTGATATCATAGCTCTTGATTAAAAATTTTTTTAACTATTTATAAATTGATAATATATTTTTTTTAAAATCAATCTCTCGAATTTATTTAAAAAGAAGTTATATATCTGTAAAAATAGATAGATATAAGATTAATTTGAATTTCGTAAAATTTAATAATTTCCACAATTATTTCCTCGATCGAAGAATTTTTTTCGAACTTTTATCAGATACAAGTTCAAAATTTCGATATCGATCGGAAGAATGGAAAACTTGTTTGGAGATTGACTTTTACGTGGAACAATCGTAGAAACGCCGATCCAACGCGTCGATACACGCGTTGGTCAAATATTAGATTTCGACGCACGTTGATAACAAACAGCAACAACGTATGTGTCTACTTTGTAGGAATGTAAATAACATTTTTCAGTTAAATAACGTTACATCCATGGCTATAAATCGTGATTCCACGCAAATATCACGAAGACCGGACGAATACGCGGAATATCGGGTTGGAGGTTTTGATGAAATGGTAATATTGAACTATCGACTGTTCGACGATTTGAACCTGAAAAATATTCATCGTATATAGTGTTTAAAGTTTATGAATGTTGAGATAGCGCTCGAAAGTTGCTCGATTTACCAAGAGAGTTATGACTAATTCTTCCTTCTCATTTTTTTTTTTTTTTTCTTTAATAGAATTCTTTAATAAATTCGATGATCATTCTTTGAATGTCTGAATTTTTGCATCTACGAATCATTGAATTTTTCAATTTTTTAATCTTGAAATATTTGAATCTTTGAATATTGGGATCTGTTAATCTTTAAATCCTTAAATCTTTGAATCTTTAGAGTTCTTGTATCCTTTTACTTTTGAATTTTTGGATTTTATCTGTAATTTAAATAAACAAATTTTATAATTTGAAACATTATGAATGATATATGATATTAAGTACCATTTATGATTATCTACATTAAAATAATCTATACGTTCTTTTAATACAAGATTGTACCAAAACCTAATGTACAAGATGAAAATTTGGTAGTGAAATTCGCATTGCAGAGGGAGGACTAACTGGCCCCCCGAACTTTCTTCGTTACTTCCGTTCGCGGACGGAAGCGGAACTTAATTAATGCGGGTTCGTTACGCGGTGCGAATATACTGTGCTTTCCAGAATTTCAGATTAAACCTAACTAGAAGCTATACTTTCCTGGGGGAGTTCCAGCTTCTCGCAATAACCTGAGCTCCTTCAACGACTCCAATTAATTGCCGTGCTATAATATCAGATTCATTCAGCGATAGAAATACGAATTGCAAATCCATGATTGGATCGATTATTTAATTAAAAATGTTTTGTGAAATGAATCAAAAAATATTATATTATCTTTGACTTTTTCTTTTGTTTGGATATTTAATTTTTTTATCTTACAGTGCGAAATTTTGTATATCATTGAATCTTTAAATTTTTGAATTATTCAATTCTTGAATTCTTTGAATCTTTCATCAAAATTTTATTATCAGAAACCGAGAAAATAAATAGCAATATTCTGTATATTTATAAGTTTTTAATTTAGCATTATAGTATAATAGATTTTGATCTTACTAAAGTTAGTAATTAATTTTAATACTATTTTATATTAACATTAAAAATATATTTTCTCCAATATTGCAACTTAACATTCTTCATATCTATCTCATATCTATCTCAATCTTCTCCAAATACATATAAAGAGATAAAAAATTTACATAAAATATAATTTTTAAGTATTTTATCATAAATTCAAAGAAAAATAAATATTATATGTTTAAAAAAGAAAAAAATTTAACATTTATAATAAATTTTGTAATATAGGAACAAAAATTTTATCTCACTAGACTAGTGTATTAGATTGTTTTTTTTTTTTTTTTAAAAACTATTACAATTGTGTATATCATCTAATGGTGTACATAAAAGGTATTCTCCTTCGCATTCCAGCAACCACGGAATCCAGCTTTTCCGTTAATGAGAATAATTAGCAACAAGAGGTCGTTGTACTTACGTATATAGCTTAAGGTCGTGCTAGTCTCCATTGAATCGAACGTGGGATTTACCCGGTACTTTCAGTTTCCGGTATCTTTCAGATTAAACGCTGCTGACGTCTACGTGTGCATGATTTTCGCCAATGTGTTGCACCATAAAAGGATTTTAATACGTTGAGTTTATATGTCGTTTAATTACCGTCATTTCATATTTTTTTCTTGTTTTACATCGTTAAATGTTACTCCTATAATTTGCATTAAAAACCAGACATTTGGATTTTTCTCATTTCACGTTTAACGAGTTTAAAATTGTCGCTGCTCATTGCTGGCCATTAGCTCACAGAGATTTCACTTCCAATTGATCGAAAGTGGTGTTTTTCCTGTCGTAAGTAGGTTTACATAGTTAATTTCATGCTTATAAATTGAAATTGATATTTACTGGTTAATGAGTTTTTTGTCGCTTTGAAATAAATTCATTTGTTTGAAATAAAGATAAATCTATTTGATAAATATAGATATAAGATATAGAAAAATATTAAAAATTTTAGAATTTTAACTTTAAAATGTGATAGAAAAAGTTTTATTTATTAAAAATATAAATATACTTCAATTATTTTCAAAATAATTTTATTTTATGCAATAAAATTATATATTGTTATATTGGAATATTTATCTCTGATTTTTCAATACAAAATATTAAAAAAAAAATTATACTTTATTATATAAAATAATTTTTATATAATAATTCTTAAAATGAATATTATATGAATTCTTTGTTGGAAAAAATATTTATTTTATAACTGAATTTTATAATGTGAAATATAAATAAAAAAAAATAATTATTATTACTCTGTTTGCAAAATGCATATTTGATTTTAAAAAACACAACATTTTGTTTCTAAAAACATATCCTTCATCAAACAAATATTTAGGAGTAACCTACCCTATAAAATATGCATAAGTCAAAGAAAATTGATTCGACGAGTGTAACTCGTGCCGACACCAGAGGTTTAATTGGCAGGTCGGCAATTAGGCGATTAATTAAGTGCAGTTAAGACATAACAGGAGGAACGAACATAGCCTCTTCTTGCGTAATAATGCTCATGGCAGTGAACCTGAAGTCAAAGGCACTTCGCTTCTCACGTCGACAGCGAGAAGCGGCTGCACACGGAAAAAACATTAGTTTGATGCGTCTATCTAGACAATTGTCCCGTATAGTTTTCTTTTGCATAAAGTTTTACATTTCCTAGTTGTTATTCTATAAGTAAATTCTAAAAACAAGTTTAATGATGATTGAAATAAAAAAAAAACCAGGAAATAGAAATTTTATTTATTTTGTATTCTGATGTATTGAATATTACAGTTGAAAATTCAATTTATACGTTTTATTTGATTTATTTTATATTATTATTTTATATTATTTTCTTTGATTTATTTCTACGTTTTCTCTAATTTGTAAAAAATATTTTAAATTAATTTTTTAAGAACAAATAAAATTAAATAACATGGTTTTAAATAAACGAAATTTAAGCTACATACCGCTGATTCAATACTTTCAGTCCATCGAATAATCTTTCAATATCAAATTCTCAATTGATAATGACATTTCAGAAAAAAATACTTTTCTCGATAACAAAAAATCTGCTTATAAATTCATCGATTTATTAACGATCGATCGAAAGAGCGATTTAAACCAATCGATTAATTCCGTTTCCGAGAACAAGTACAAGAAACAATACTTATGCAAATCTCAAGCGGATTCTTCGTTCGAATCTCGACTATTCTTTTGTGTGAGAAGAGAAGAAAGTAGTTTAATTCAATATCGAAATGCGATTCGGATTGGTTTTGTCATCTGCAAGAAAAAAAAGCACAAAGAAAAACAAGACGGATATGCCTATCCAACCTTCTCCTTTGTTGCCATTCGAATTCAATCCTCCAATTCTCTTCTTCTTTTCATCGAGTTTTAGCAGTTTTTTACCAGCATTGTCGTAATTTGTCATCGAGGAGTTAGTTCTCGTGCACATTCGTGGCAATTTGTTCCTTCAACGGGACACTGCTCTCGACAGATAATTCGTTTTATTCATTAGTCTTCACTATCTATCTCTCTTCCTTCTATTCAATCCTCTGTCTTCATCTTTCTCTTATTTCAACTTTCGTTCGTTGTACCTAACCTCCAATGCTTCATTTCGCTAGTTACGTCACAATAGTCGAATTCGACTCGTTTCTCCCTTTTATTTTTCAACAAACATCACCATTTGTCCGCCGTTTTCCTTTCTTCTTTTCGTCTATTTTTTTTTTCTTTTTTATTATTATTCACTGTTTCCGTTATCAGTTTGAATACTCGTGAACGATCAAAAACTAGAAGCGGAATTGTATGAATTTGCTTGTTTACCAATCGAAAAAAAAGTCGATTCGTACTCGATGGCCTACATTCAAACCACGTTTCGAATTCTGATTGGTCCCGTTCGTCGTTCGTTTGAATATTTACAAGAAGAGGGCGCAAAAGGTGTCCATATTCGATAGATAGTTTTCGTTTCGTTTCAACTTCATTTCCGTTCGGTTACGATCGGAATACGTGAAAATGTTTTTTTATCGCAAAGTTGGGTATTTACACTTGGCGTCGTTGTACCGCTTTTACATAATTTAGTTATGAGACATTTATTATGTAATTTATCGAGACACGCTTGAGAGAGGCTGGTTACGTAACTTCCTACATGAGGCTTTACCGCGTGAATTACCGTGCTGAAGTGCTTCGAGATATTCTAACGCCTCGAATCGAAGGTTGTGTACGTTTTTATACACTTTTACTTGTATAAATGGTGAAATAGTTGCAAGAATGTTGAGATTATTCTTTAAATAGCATTTAGATGTCGAGATGAAATGCGTACAATATTTCGTATGTATCTTAATTTTTTATCTTAAAAAATTTTTTCGTAATTTTTAACTTTTTTTGAAGTATCTAAAATTTCTGTTTTATATGCTAATGCATATAATTAGAATGTATTTTAATTTTTTTTTTTTGGATTTATAAAATAATTTTATAAAATACTTTTTTTCATTTTATTTGTTTTCTCTTATATATATATTTTGTTTCTTTTATCTTTCAGCTTTCTATTTTTTTATCGAGGAATATATAACAATTTTTTTTTCTTTAATTTTTTACATTATTTTTATATATTAATTTAGATTTTTGCTTATTTTATAACACATTTTTATATTTATTCTAATTTTTTCCTAAGTTGTCTTCTATTTTATTTTATTATATTACATGTTAAATTTAAAAATTTTGTTTCATTTATTTTGTATTATTTTTCGTAAAATATTTCTTTCTTTTTATTGTTTAGGAATTTAATCTGGATTATTTTTTTTTACGATTTTTCATCTTGTTCACATGTTTTAATCGAAATATTTATTATATTTATACCATGGACAACGTCAGTGTAGTATTTGTTGTTTATTTTGGAATGCAGAATTGCTGGGTGATGTCAGCCATGTTGCTACATAAATCATGACATGAAGTGATCGTTACCAAGCTCGTAAGCCTTGTGTGTATTTGGTCCTAAGATTTTTTTTTCTGGCCTCTATTGCGGTTTCACTTGGCGCGTTTCGTTTCATAGCCAGTCACCCTTGGCATTGTATTGTCACGATATCAACCTCTTTGTATTCATATTCTCACTATAGTTAGTCAATGAACTTTGAACTTTGATTGTCGGTAAATCTGACAAATAATCTTTTTCTTTAATCTTATATTTTTTTCATCCATTTTTGTTCTTAATCTAAATAATGTTCTCAAAGATTTTCCTTTTTTTATGAAAAAATGTAAAATTTATTTTTTAAAAAAGAATTGATAGTAATTTATATAAAGTTTAAAATAAATATTTTTTATTTCTTAATAATATGATAAAATAAAAGTTTGAAAATAAAATTCAGTTTTATTTTATTTCATGTTTTGTATTATTTCCAATATAAAAATGTTTTATTTAGTTTAAACACGTTTTTTTCAGATTTAGAAAACTAGTATTATTAAAAAACAAATTCAAAAACAACATTTTGTTATATGTATTCTTTTGTATTATGTATGACGGATGAAATTGCTTATTTGAAAGCAGACGATTATTTTTTCGAATGCATCGATGATAAAAAAACATTACTTATCATATTCGCAGTCTTCCAAGGATCAGCGGCGAGTTTATGTATGTTAATGGAGGAAATGGATGGAACACCTTAAATATAAAGGCTAAGTTCCCAGCTCCATTATCGTAACCTCTGGAGAACACGACTATACAATTACGATATTAATATTTATTTTCCTATTGTTCGACCGTTTGCAATAATTTCATGTTTTCTACTTCGTATCTTTTTGCATCTTATGTTTTATATTTTATTTATTTTCTTTTTTTTTTATTTATTTTCCTTTTGTAATATTAAAGATTTTATAAACTAATATAAAGTTCATTATAAAATTTATCATTTAATTTAATATTTGTTATAAAAAAGAAGTTTTATCAATAAATAGATTATTAATTATGATATTATTAATTTAAATAATTAAATATTATATGATATATTTATAATATATTATATAATATATTTATATAATTAAATATTGAGCTGTTATATATTTTTTAAAAATTTTCCTCTAAATAATTTTTAGATATATTTTAACATATATTCCTTTTTGATTTTTTCATGAAAAAGTCTTAAAATTCCAATAAATGATCCAATGATAATACGAAAATGGTAACAAAAATCATGAAGAAAATTGTAATAAATGATAAATGATTTTCTTTCGTTAACTATTCATCCCATGTAATCATCGTAACTTCGTTTGCATGAATGTAAAACGCATAAACATATATATATATACACGTTCGACTCGTGCTCATGGCAAATTGTGGTTAGAGAAGAGGTTTCACCGTTAGCATCGGGAAGAAAAAACATTTCCATCGACTTTTCTCTTTGTTCCTTGGACGTGTAATGGTACGGAACTAAAGTGGCGAGTACGGGGCAATGGGCGCGTTTACGACGATTTATATCTCGCGCGCATGGCTGTGTCATGGCGCAATTTGTCCCGCGCAGAGGCCAAGCCTTGAAGTCCCTAGACGAATTCTTCTCGCAATGGCCAATGTCATTTTGAAAGTTTTGATTTATATTGTAATTTAGTTTCTTAAAATGAATGAGTAAGCGAAAAATTGTGATATTTATAGACGGATTTTAATTATTAATTTAAACTTTTAATTTATATCTAAAAAATCATAGATATAGATTCAACATGATTCAATTTTATATTTTAATAATAATTTCTAATAATAAAATCTTAAATTTGAAATATAAATCAGCTTTTTTTTTTATTTGTATGAATATTGTTCGTGTGATTAAAAAAAGTCTATCGAATAACTTTCTTATTAATTATCAATCAGGAATAACCAAGAAAATTCTATTATGATTTTTATGATAGAAAGAGAACATAATATTTCTATATAATGTAATAATAATGTCAATATCATTATCATATTATTAATGTTCATTTATCCATATCTTGAAATAATATTAAGTGTACAGTAACTTACGAGAATATAATAACTTATAAAAGGATGGGATATCATAATGTATAATGTCTGTAACAAAATGACTATGTATTATGATTTCACCGATCATCGATCATGTTTGAAACATTCTCGGCTCTCACGACATACATAGATATATTCAAACACAGATACGCGCAACTTATTCAATGCTATCGATTTCCCATTAAATGTGGATAAACGTGATCCCGTGAACGATCACGAGAGTCACGCTTCCACGACGTGGGTTTTCGACGTGCAGGAACTTTCGCGATGCGTAGAAAAATGCGTATAGTATACGCGAAAGCATCGTTATGGAAGAAAATTTGTTTCCAACCTTTTTTCTGATGGATCGATGCCAGAAGCTTGGGATGAAATATCGTGGGAAACATGTGTTTTTTTTTTTTTTTTTTTTTCTCATTTTCTCCCTCTGTGTATCCGTATGGCGTTTGTTAACGAGGAAACGCTTATGAAATCTCGAGGTGTTCCGCGGATTGCGGCATGCATGCAAAAATATTTCTGCGTATTGTAACGGGAAGAAACAGACATGCAACTAATACCTGCGACTGGTGAGCAAGTTCAAACATGCAAATGTGCATGTTGCTGACGCGTAAAGCGCGATTTCTTAATTTATTCGTTTTTTTCTTTATTTTCTTCTGTTTTTTTTATTTTTTATTTTTTCTTTTTTTTTTTTTTTTTTTTGAAGAGAG